AGTTAAAAAATATTTATTAAAAATGATTCAATCAATGATTTAAATTAGATTTCTTACATCAATGTAAGTAAAAATCAAGTATTATATTTCTGGAAAATTTATCCTTTTTTATCACTTAATTTTTTTTGATATAACTCAAAATTGTATTGCTTCATCCGTAGATGAACATTTTTTTTCCCATCATTTTCTTCTATTTACTTATGAATTGCTTCACAATCCATGACAATATATTTATTAGTTTAATTGTTATGGTTGAAAATTTTACTGTTTTAACAACATAAATTTAATTTCATAACAATATTTTGTGATAAATTTTTTTTAGTTTCATGATTGAGAATTATTTTCATTTATATAATGATCTATAGATTCAATCGATCAATTGACATGTAGTTTGAATTTATGCCTTATTTTTTTCGTGAACCTACAACAGTTTTTTTGGTACAATCATGTGTTTTTAAAATTTTTGAATATCAAAAAGGCCAAAATTAAATTGAAATTATTTATAAAAAAAGAGAGATTATCTTCATTTTGTAAAATTTTTCAGCAAGAATCAAATTACTTGTGCTCTTGTTTGATAACTGCAAAATTTGACACTATGAATCATCATTCCAGATATATAACATTGATGATTATCAAAAAAAATTAATCACTCAAGTATTTCACTAATCTTGTAGCAAATTTAATGTTAATGATGGTTTGATTTCCTATGACAAATTTCCAATTTTGTTTGATGTTTTATTTTGTTTGACTTTATTAACATTTTTAATCAAATCAACCATTCTGATTGCTTCATTTACAATGCATATATTACTTATCATAATCTTTTTATGTGCTTATTCATAAATTCATAAAATATTCATATTATAATGTATGAATAATTTATTATTATTCATAAAATATTCATAAATTTTGCTACCGTCATATTAATGATGAATATTTAAAAATTATGAAATCTTTTGATAATACCAACATTACTGAAATTTATTTTATAATTTTAAATTTTATTTTTGCAGTTTGAAATTAATCAATAATTTATAAATATTTTAGAAATTTTAATTTATTTAATTTCATAATACGATTCCCTACACGATACATGATTTTTCTTCAAATGAAACAAAAAATTACTTTGATTTCCCTTATTTCAAATTTATTTTTTCATTATCATTACAGATTTTTGATATGAAAATACCATACCATACCATACCATATACCATACCATATATTTGAGCTTCTTATTCGTAATTAATTAATTTTTATTTTTTAACTCTCTAATGCACATGTTTTATATTCCATGATTTACTTTTTTGTATGCAATATCAAACTTTTTTCAAGTTGTTTGTATAAAATCTTAAATAAAATTCTTAAGTATGTAATATATTCTTAATTTAGTATGTAAGTATATTCTTAATAAAGTGTATAAGTAATCATTGTATTTAGTAACTCAATATCTATGATATTTCAATCAGTTTATTCACAAAAATACAATTTAAGATGTGATACAATCTAGTTTGTCAAACTAGTAATAGTAAAAGTTAAAGTTGATTTTATAATAAATTTATAATACTATTAATTATAATTTAAGATTTACAATTTTTGTTGATAAATTTATTTTTGTACATTTGTATTGAATCAAATATTATTAGAGTATTCAACATCCAAATTATAATATGAATTGTGATTTTTTATTAACAAATCATGAATATTCTCAAATTCCTAAATTTTGCATCAAATATCTCACAATTTATAGTAAAAAATTGATGATTTTGTGAAAGAAAGATAATTATTAAACAGATTTATTATCAATTATTCAATTTTTAAATTTTTGTTGATTTGTACATATTTGCATTCCTATAAAGTTTTTTTTCACTATCTTTAAGTAAAAATCATTCAACTTTGTATAATTTGAAGAACTAAATTAAATGATTTTTTAAGGGAGCCGCTAACCAGCACTCACCTTTGGCTAACCAGCACTCACCTTGTCTATATAGAACCCCTAGGCTCGTTTTCGAGGCCTGTGATTGGCTGGAACCATTCAATATTATCACGAAAAAATAATTTGCCACCGCCAGAAAACCATTTTTGTATTAAATATTATTTGAGCTATTGTCTATCTATCTTCTTCAATATCAGAGAGATGCGGGAGGTGTGGATTTCAATCTCTTTGCAATGAACAACCTGAACAACTTGGAACTACTTGGAGAGCTTGGAGAGCGTGTGTTTGCCACCCTAGACGAGGCTCGTGCGGCAGTATACTCTCAACTGCAAGATGAGGGCTTTGTTTTGACTATCAAGCATACAAGGCGGGTGGGTAACAAAAAAGATGGTGACATCAAAGCAGTGATTCTCTACTGTTCTTGTGGAGCACAACAGCCACGGCCACAGCTAGAGGCAGAAGCATAACAACAACAAGGCAAACGCATGCGTGACAGCCGCGGAACAGGATGTACCTTTTACTGCACCATACGCCGTCAAAATGGCACAGAGTGGGCGGTGTTTTTTGATGACAAGGAACACAACCATGCACCCTTTGCCGACCCGTCTGTCCACCCGCAAGGACGCGCTCTAACCCCGGTCCAACGCCAAGAGGTTATTCGGCTTGCTTCAAATGGGCTGCGACCAAAGCGCATAGTCAGTACAATGCGCAGGCAAACTGTGAGTGTGACCCCTCGTGATGTGTACAACTTAATTCAAGTAGAGCGCAACCGCAATTTGACTGGCTGCTCTCTGCTCCAAGCTCTGCTTGACAACCTTGAGGGGAACGAGGCCGAGGCCCCTTATTTCACGCAGTTTGATGACCAACAAAGGCTCACGCACCTATTCATTGTCTCGCCATCAGTAAAGGAAGTCTGCAGCAAGTTTTCAGCGGGAAAAATATGGTTGATTGACTCAACTTACAAGACCAACCGTTTTGGGCTGCCATTAATGCACGTTGTAGGCGTGACCGCCACATCGCAGACGTTCACGTTTGCATACTGCTTCATGGCAGCTGAGACATAAGAGGATTACCTGTGGGCAGTGCAGCTTGTGTCGCGCGTTTTGGAGCAGTTTGGGGTCATTCCATCCACCTTTGTCACTGACCGGGAGTTGGCCTTGATGAACTCGCTTGACAACGTGTTTCCTGATGCTGACTTCCTTCTCTGCCGCTGGCATATCAGCAAGAACATAACTGCCAAGCATCGACTATCATTTGACTCATTGGAGGCCTTTCAGGAGCTACTCAAGCAGTGGAACGCTCTTGTGTTTTCAATCACAGTGGCATGTTATGAACAATAGCTTGAGGCTATGCAAGAAATGTTCCCACTTCATGTCATGGCCTATCTTGAGACAACATGGTTTGTCTATATGGAAAGGTTTGTAGCTTGCTTATGAACAGTAGCTTGAGAGGTAAGCTACACTTTGGCCATACCACCACGTCAAGGGTAGAGAGCGCACACTCGGCATTAAAAAAGTGGATCTCGGTCTCCACAGGTGACCTCTTGAGGGTAGATTTAGCCTGCCGTCTTGCCTGTGATGGGCAGTTTGCCACTATCAAACACCAAACTGCCATCGAACAATCAATTGCAGACATGCAGTTTGGGCCAATTTTTGCGGCAGTTATGGGGAAAATTTCAGTTGCAGGATTGAAGTCAGCCTTTTGGCAATTCAAATTGAGACTCGAAAATAGCGGGGACGCTTGCCAAGGTTTATTCTCATCAAACCTTGGGCATCCTTGCAAGCACTGTTTTCGTGCGAGGTCAGCTGCACAACCAGCAGCAATGCCACTCTCTGCTGAAGATTTTGACGTGCACTGGTGGTTGGTGCAGCCATGTCGTGCAGCACCAGCAATAGCAGCAGAACTGGAAATTGAAGATGCTCTCGGGCAGGTTCATGAGGAGTACAACAATGCATCTATCTACCACCAAAGGGTGATCCTAGATCATATTGCCACCTTGCCAACAGCCAATGTCCTTAATCCTGCTGTGCTGTGCGGCCGCGGCCGTCCTGCAGGTTCCTTGGGGAGACCACAACGTGCTACCTCTACCTCTACACAGAGGTATCCCTCGCAGTTTGAGGTGGTTGAGGCATCTGTGAGACCCCAAAGAAGATGTGGAAGGTGCCGTCAGTCTGGTCACAATGCTCGACGTTGCCAGCAACCTCCCGCACCTCCTGCATCTCTTTGATATTGAAGAAGATAGATAGACAATAGCTCAAATAATATTTAATACAAAAATGATTTTCTGGCGGTGGCAAATTATTTTTTTGTGATAATATTGAATGGTTCCAGCCAATCACAGGCCTCAAAAACGAGCCTAGGGGTTCTATATAGACAAGGTGAGTGGTGGTTAGCCAAAGGTGAATGCTGGTTAACGGCTCCCTTTTTTAAATGACAATCCATATTCAATACTACAACAACATATCATATCGATTGTAAGACGAGAAAAACATATCATTCGAAAAATGATACATAAACTATCAGTACAAGAGATACATCTATTGATAATATATCAAAATCAATCAACATAATAATGTTTTAATAACCAGATACACGGATTTAAGTTGCAATTACAAATATTGAACTGTAACTCATTCTTATTATCATCTTGAAAAACCTACATTTCAATTTCGAAATTCTACTAGAAGACTTAAACTCTCCCTTATCCACTCATAAATTGCATTTTCAAAGAGTAACAATCTACTCCATCTACTTGCTCTCATGGTTAATAATTTAAAAAGAGATTCAGTTCGAATATTCTAACTCATATTAAATCAAGACTGCATATTTTGTTTCTATAGTGCATATGCTGATACGATGTATAACCACTTTTGAAATGAACATCGTGAGAATTAGTTCCATTGCTAAAAGTATGCATAGAGGTAAAACAATAAAGAGCAGTAAAGTCTTCAGATTCATCGTGACACTTTATCACGATGAGTTTAAAGACTTAATTCATGGTGATGAAAAGTCAGCTTTGTATGTATTCTTCGGATTATTGTTGTACAGGAAGATTCCAGTCAAGTAGCCTGCATCAAACTACTCATCGTACTCAATTTTGCTTAAGTCATGAGCAAATTTGCATGCTTGTTGTGTGTTATACCACTAGTTCGCGTTGTTGCAATCAAAATCACGTGAGATTTTGTCAGACTTACGGCACGTTGCTTTCCACCACAACCATTAGTCGGGGTACTTCGTAGTAGGTTGCTCAACTGAAGCCACTTTCACCAGACTGCTTTCAATATTCCACTTACCTAGAACCCCACAGTTTCGGCAGTTTCCTTGTGTGTGATATTCTCAAGACACTCAAATTTACCCATCCTCCCCACGCAGGCCTGATCACCTTTAATGATAACACCTAAAACCTCCAGGTCTTGAACTTTTTGTCGGTGATCGTCAAGCCCTTGGAAAAGAGCCAGCCAGCCTCCACTTTGACAGCCTTCAATCAGATGGATAACCTCTTTCGACGAATTCTCCTTCTTATAATGTACAGATCATCCCAGACGTGGAGGATAAATATATTACATAAGTCGCCAGCCTTTGCGACGGCGCAAGAAAAAGTTCTATCTGCCTTGCCATTAAGTTACGGTTTGGAGTCTTGTCATAGTGTCAACTAATTACCCGTGGTAGGACTACTCACCCGTTTTCGTACACAGTGGTCATCAAAAGGTGACCAGCCGAGGCTTCATCACCGTCTTGGTCTAGATAGAATTCATCTAGACCATGTGAGTTCTTGGCTCATTATATTTACAGGAATATCGCTAGCGTTTGGAATATGGAGTTTGTTCCAGTTCAACACACGTCTAAGTTCTTGCTGTGCTGCCCCCACGTTCCACTCTTGCATGTGAAGGAGAGAATCAGGAAATTCCTCTTCTGAAACCTTCACATGGGTAGCCCGTGACCTCGATCATCTATGGTGGCAGCGGTTACAGCGAACAGATGAATAGATGCTGCGCTATCGGGCCAGCTCGTAAACACTTTTTTCGTGATCAGATAGTTACGAACATTCACGACTTACATAGCGTTCAATGTTAATCAGAGAGAGGACGGTCGGGATGGTAAATCAACCTCCCAACCCGTTCTGGACGATTTGTCCGATGCCAATTGACATAGTGGCAGCAACCACGGCAACGATTACACTGACGAGCTGATCCCCGGCTTCGAATCCGCAGATGGACAGCTACAAACATAACCACAAAGTCCGTACGTCAGCAAGAGGTAAGTCAACAAGGGCTTAAATCAACCTCAACGGTAAAAGAACATAGCTGCGAGAGTTGCTGAAAATTAAGGTACTTGCTTAAGTCCAGGCCAAAAACAAAGTCGAACTTGAACTTGACACCGACCTTTGACTTCATGTTATCCCATTTCATAACCTCAGCAATGCCGGTCATTGTCCGCAATGCGATCCTTGATTTCTTTAGGTCTTCAGTCGGGATCGTTTGATGCAACTCAAGTGTCATCTTCATGTGTGTATTCATCTGTACACATCTGTTTTCAGTATAAAAAGTATCTCGAAGTAATTGAGTGAGCTTTTCGTCAACCTCTAATCTTTACGCAGGCAAGGCTCAACGATTTCACACATCTAGATGTCGACACCAACCCTCCCACAACGGTGGTTACTGAAATCTGGCTGCATTACATCAATATGGTTCCAATAATCCATTGGGTATCAATTCTTCTGTAGATAAAATAGCTTTTATCCCTATTTTTATGTAAAAGATAAGGTTTTTGGACGAGCCGTGTAGAAAACAACGGTGAGGTCCTAGGCCTTCCCTTTTATCCCTAGGAAGTCAAAGAGGCCGGCACGTATTACCCACCTAACCGAAAGGTACCTAGTAATAGGAAAGCGCTTGATAACAAACAGTAGGGAAGGAGCCTATGTACTTACTAAATGGTTACCGTTTGGCAAGTTTTTTACTTTGACGCAGTCTATCAGGTCATCTTCAAAGGACCGTGTAATAGGCGCTCGGGGGTTGTGCCCTTCCGGGTTTGAAGAAGCTCCGAAGAAAGTCAGGTTAGAGAGCTGTGTGATGGGCAACGTACGGTTCGTAGAGCTGTATCCCAGATCGGTGAACGGGGCCCGGGGCGGACTCTTTACTCTATCCCGCAAATTCCATGCCAACTCCGGTGATATACGTTCTTGCAAATACTAGCTGGTACAACTGTTCAACATTTCTGCCTCTAAAAATCCAACTGAACGGTTTGACGAGTTACAGCCAAGGAGTGACCATAAGCTTATATATATATATAGTCTAAAATTCCTCGAGCGGGAAATGGGAAGGAATAGCCGCACCTTGCGGTTGATCATTGTAGTTCCATGATGTTGCAGCATATAGTTGGTGTCTCCACCGGGCCACACCATGAGAGCCAAAAGAGTCAAAAAGACATTGATGCTAAATAGGACTGTGACTCTGCATCAAGAGAACAATACACCGGTGCATACCAGTTCGTAATTAATAAATCTGCGTTTAAAATGAAAAGAAGTCAATATTGAAGGTAGACGCTGGGTGCAATTCAACAAACACAGTCAAATCTAAAATGGTGGGCAACTTACAAAAGATATATGTCACGTTTCGTTATTCCTGTGAGCATCTTCAGCACCACGAACATGAGTAGAACCCCGCAATAGACTGCGAAGTAGGTGTTATAATACTGCAAAAAACAGAAGGCACTACCAACAAAATTAATACCTTTTCTCGAAAGAAAGAGAAAAAAATCATTAGAATTGCATGTGATAGTACAGTTACCACCTCATCATTCTACATTTGTTAAGCTAATTAACGGCGTCAGAATCTCAATCCAGTGTCTTATTATGAAATCTTCGCTACTTGGCATACGTCCTCTTAGACCAAAAAGAATCCTCAAAACGTGAAATCCCAACCTTCTTACTCGCACAATGAGCGTTGACCTATACCAACTATTTTTGTCTACCTACGCAAATTTCAGGTTGATACTAATAGGAAAGAGAGAGCAAACCTTGATACGTTTGTAGAATCCGAGACCAAAATTCTGCAAAAGCTGCCTACAAGCCCACCAGGCTAATAGAGACTCAGAATCTTGAAAATCAAAGCCAATACCCTCTCCTGATAATTTGCCGCTACTGGAACTTCTACTAATGCTAGGTTGTTCCATGTCGTTCCCCGGAGATCGGAACCAGGAGAAACGATCTGTGAAACGTGCCATTCGCCCAGAAAAGACGCGCGCGTTGTGACTGCCTGTATACCGACTAGTGCGCAGGAGATCGTCAAGACTCTCAGCAATAAAATGACGGCGCCTAAAATCCAGCACACCGACCATCATGAAACCGACATTTGAAAACATTGAAAAACTCATGAGAACAAAGCCTGGAATTAAAACAGAGTACAGAGTCCATGATGGACCCGGCACTTCATGTCCTCCTGCGAAACAAAGATGAAGTTACTGTGAGCACTAAAGATATTAGAGTATCACTTCGAGTGGTCTCAGACTTCCCAAATCTCTGAAGAACTGTGGACTAAATTTGAGGAAAGTAAAGAGAAGATCATAATCATAGCCAACAGATCGCAATACCCTCATAACTTGAAAGATTCTTTGAAAACTATTTTCGTGCTACAAGAAAAACATTTTGTAAATTCGAGCCTTTCATGAATTTTCCACTTCAACTACACAGTCTTCTGTTCCAATAATGCCTTCATAACATAAGGCTCAACATCCAAACTTCGAAAGTAGCCTTGGCTGCCTAGAAACTTGTTCAGGACGCTCAAGGACTGCATTACATCTCATCAAATCCTGCTAAAACAAGGGCAAGAGCAGCCTCACTAACAGTTGATTACAAACATACATAACAATAATGACAACATACCAAAAATGTAACGGCACGCCGTCAAGATAACAGCATGTGCTCCGCCCAGTAAAAGTGAGCACGCAGTAATATGCTGGCTAAGAAGGCTGTGCCCTATCCTCTTTAACCTGAAGAATGAGAGTCAATCATAAGACCAAGCACATCAGTACGCACGCAAGACACAGAGCAAAACGTGGATGAAGCTTATGCACGAATCATGTAACAAGGTGGAGATTATAAATGAAGTTAAGGGTACTTCAGCGACACAAAGTAGGGCAGTTACCTGCTTAGGCTAGATGCTTGATGAATAACATGTGCAGCATATAGTATCACGGGAAGGAGTTCGACATTTCCTAAACCTCCTGCTTCTAATACAGCAATTGGATTCTTTGTGAGATCTTGACTAAGAATTTCCAGCCATCCGTCTGGTTCCTTGAGGCCGATATCGTCCTGATTGCAAAGGAAGGATGATAATTTAACTCATAAAAAGGCGGTAGTACATTCACAGTGCAGATGATACATTGCTGGTCAACGCAAGACACTTGTGCTCTACCTAAACACTACCATTTATGCTTCTGAGTAATCCAGCAGACACGAATATCTGCACAAATACAACTGCCTTGCTAATAAATGATAGCTAGACATATGCCAAAAGGACAATTAAAGGATGTCCCTGTATGCACCAAGCAAAAAAAAGAAGAAGACTTACTCTCGTTATGAGCTTGAGATCAAGAATCAAATCATGGATGGCATTTGCTGAGTCAAATCTCGTGTCTAATGAGAAGCAAGTCTTTCGTAAAGCTTGTTTGCTCCGAATGGCAGCCAATAGCAGCTCAGTTTTTAGTACCCGACCGGGAATCGGATCCTTCCATGCCCTAAGCAGCTAGACACATTAAAGTCATAGTTGTATCAAATTCCGATAATTGGGCAGCTTTAAATGTTCGCCACGTTTGTCTAACAAGCCAAGTTTAAAAGGTCAGCAGCTGCCAGCTTCAGCTAAGAGCGTGTAATCAATTCTGGCTCTAATACCATAAACGCGATGCAGAGCTGCATAAATTTCAACAAAAAAGTCGTACTCACAGTTCTATAGTCATGCACGTCCTGCGGAACATAACGCGTCTTCATTTCCTCCCTCTCAACTTTAGAAAGAAAGGCGTACTTGGTGGCCACTACCTGTACAACGATAAAAACTAATCAGATTGACCTCGTTTTCAACATTGCAATCTTATTCGCCTATGTTGTGCTGCAAAAGCGGTAATATATATGTCCGATCTACAAGACATGGTTAAGCAAAAAATAACGAGGGTAATTTACTTGAAGATTTCATTACCAATACACGATATTTCGAAGTTATACCCAGTTGGACAATTCTCTAGTTCGTTTGACTCGAATATGAACCTTACCATGTTGCGCATGAACCAGAGGTAGTCCACCAGTCCGACGTAATACAAGTAGTCTAAGTGCTTTGCCTTGTAGACGTACGCCAGGCTCACAACATTGAGAACGTAGACTACAGCCAGAAGAAGTATGTCAAATTGGTGTAAAAGCAGTACGCACGACAACTCTTTACTGATACTGCAAACAATCCCACACTTTTTGATAAAGTCTGTGTCACAATGAGGACAATCTATGTCCATCCATACTCACAGTTTGCAGCCAAAAACCACTGAGAAAGCATAAGAACACAACGGTCGAAGCCCAGGAAGCCGCGATTGATCAAACCCCATTTCTTCCCTTCCAGATGGTACATCACAGGTATAGAAAGTGGGAAGAAATTGTGGTAAAATTGCTCCTTAATAAATGTAGACCTGACAAATAAAATTGTGTTAGAAAATTCTCACTCCAACATGAGTAGTGTTACAAACCAAATGTGAAAACCCACCACTAAAGTAATCCAGCCAGAGCTTGTTGTGACTTCGGTCCCTCTCCCGGAAAACTTTTGAAGAGAAAACTTCGCCTTCAGATGAATTTGCTTAGGACGGAAAGCAGATACAAACGCAGCAGGATTATTTTTTCTACGGCTTGAAAAGTGCCGGTTCAGCGAAGTTTGCAAACTTGCGGTCCGGAAGGTTGAATTTTAAACAAGTCTGCTGCTCCGAAATTGGCCACATCGAAATGTAACTCCCAAACCAGCTAAATAATTGAAGAAATTCATTATAAAAATCATTCAATGATGTTCAGCCTATGATCAACAAGACATTTTCAATCATTCGTGTAGTAAGATGTTCAGACATACTTGAGAGGGTCCTCTTAACGAGAGTTGTCCTCTGTGCGTTCATGCCCCCAATTAGTCCTCCCAGCAACCTAGATAATTATTGAACGTACTTTGCGTGGCTATAAACAATTGTAAGCAAGACAGAACAACGACACTGAAATCGTCTTCCTTTAGCTGTGACTAGATTTTAACTCACAGCACTTTCGAAAATCCGGTTAGGATTTCACATGGAGCATTCAAATTGCCGCTAGTTTAAACAGAATCGTTCACAAAAGCTAGTGACTGGATGTAATGGTGACCGGAATTGAGCCTGTTAATTTTCGTCCTGTTTCATGAGATTATTGAATTGGCCTCCTCTAGAAAGTTCAATTCGTATAAAGTCTATAGATTGTGACCTTCTAAGCAAATCAGCAGATCAATAAGTCCCATGATTGATCGTCCTCATAAACTTCACATGTAGGCTGCTTGCTCACATATATCTCAAGAGATTCATAGTTTTAGATTCGTGACCACATCTAAAAAGGGAATCAGAGCGAATGGACAAGAAGCTCTACGCAAAATTTTCAGCTCTTCGTATTTAAAATGTGGCAGATCTACCACTTCCAAAATCCTAGTGAGTCTACCTATGGTTATCACGCATGGATATCCAAGAGATCAGTAAAGACGAAGCCGTGTCTTGTTGCAAAGTCTGGGCTTCAAAGGACTATTAGCCCTCTCTACGACTTCATCCTAGAAACACTTCTTGCCTAACTGCCAAGAACTTTTGCTTCCAGTGATTTGCAATCGTTTCCACTCTTGATGTAAATGAATGAGAATATCAATTTTACGTTATGGTAAGAAAACAGTTTGCATGGCCTCTAACAAGAGAGTATCCAAAGCCCTGAAGGTTACTATACGTCTACTAAGCATGATCATCATACGCACTTGTCAAATTTCACCGTGGCTCGTGCTTCCAACTCTGCCACGTGAGGCAGAAGAACAGCCTCGTTCAGGACCCCAACTCCAGTTTCAATTTCACCAGGATGAGCGTTCTCATGGTGCGAATCGTTTGATAAGATGTCGACGAAAGTCTTCTCATGTTCCCCAAAAGGCGTCATCGAATCTCAAGTTGCGTGGACGGTTGCACAAGAAGCCACTCTGTCGACTCGTCCTCTGTCAATCTTGAGATTTCCAAGTTGAGAGTGGTCTGCTATCACGTGTTCAAGATTGAGGCAACTCGATGAAGGCCAGATGTCTCAATGAGGATGTTTGAGGTTGTCCCCAGTGAACAAAAAGTCCTGCAGACTGTAAGGAGCGGGCAATCCTGGTGGAATTGTAGCCCTCCTGCTTCACACACACCGAGAAAGAGGCCCTCGACGCACCCTCATCCCGTCAACTAGTTCGTAAAAGGGGAATTGCATGCATGCCCTTGTACGCTGTGAATCTCCTTCGTAAGTGATTGGGCAGAGAATCTTTGAATGCGAGTCAACTCGAAACACAGGGAAAGAGAAGGACACCAGAGTCCAATTTCGAAACCAGTAACTTATAAGAAATGTTCTCCAAAACCATCTCGACCAATTTCACCCTCTACATGTCAGCTCGCAAGCTGCTCACAATCTGCGCAACTGCCCCACCTCCAACCAGGGGATCAATACAGGACAGCAATCGGCCAGTAAACATAAGCAGCGCCCGTAACCTTATTGCAATAACAGCAAGTTGACCAAAGAATCCCCCGAAAAAAAAGGCTAGCGTCAAAATTTCCATCTCCTAAAGCTCGGCAGCTGCGAGTCCACTACTCCTGATGCCAGATTCAGCAGGAGGACCAAGTTCCCTCGTCCCCAAATCTCCACACTGCCAGGAACCCGTTAAGCAATCGGAACTGGACTCGAGCTCTTTGTTGGTCATACGCATCGGCTGTTCCGAGAATCGGCCCTCCCGCCTCGTCGTGCTCGTCCGAGATGTGTCACTCTCCGCTCGTCGATCCTCCGCCTGCTGCAAACCCTCATCGCTCGCTCGCGCTGTGGGGAATGACGATCGATGGGAATGGTCCCGGCGCTGATCAAGATCGAACAAGAGGAGGGTCTCGAATTGTCGGGCGTGTCGTCTGTGCTCGTGTGACTTGCCTGCCACATCGGATCCAGCGTGGCGACCCAGCCGATGTGGCCGCCTGGAGATCCGCGACTTACTGCGCCTGGGGCTGCAGTACTGTACTCTTCGCTTTACGTGCCACGTGTGCACACAGTTCGTGCGGTCGCGCTAATTGTTGTTAGTGTGGTGAAGGTGTTTTTTCTCACTCCTACTCTACTCCTTGTATGTATTGAGACCTGTATAGAAAGTATGTATAGAAAGTTGTGTTTAATATTTTGCGCGATATATTTACAAATGCCTGGAGTTAGAATAGTCAGTACATCGGCTTCATTCAGCAAGAATGAGGAAATTTAATCTGATTTTTGGATCTACGTGGGTCAAATAAAGTATGTGTTTGCTTGTTAGATGTGTTTGCGATTATCATATAGTGTGTAAATAGGAGTCATTGTTTATGCTTATGTTAGTCATATTACATATATTAACTCTCCAAATTCAATCATCAACGAGTACTTTACTGTTGTGAGATTTGATCCATGCCGTATTGAAATCACCTAAACTCTATACATCAAAAAGTTTCAAGTGGTGATCACTTTCAATATTTGAATTACAACGTTTCACTCTCCCTTGTCAATATTGAGAAATTAAAATATTCTTGAAAAAGATATTGAGTAAGAATATAAAATCAACTATATAAAAGATTTAATCTATTCATTGTGCTTCGATAGATTACTTTGCAGATTTGTCGAGAACTAATTAATGGATATTTACTAATTAATAAATAATTGTTGTACTTTAGCTGGAAGCCATTGCTACTACTATCTACAATTGTGAAGAGTGTACAGCATTCCAGATTCATGTATACTTAATATGAAATACCATCCAACAGTTCGCATGTACAATTGATCATTCTCAGATGCAATCATTGATTGTGGACCGAAGAGCCATGAGAAGCAGAGGGAGAATTTGCCCCTCACATGGCTCGTTTTGTATCACCTCGTACTTAGTACGTAGCGTTGGAGCTCTTCTCTTTGCATTTTGCATGATGTTCGTGAAATCGATGATGATTGTTACGAGGATACCACGCTTGCTTGATTGACTCGGTATCAGAATTGGCAACTTCGCGAAGAGCGACAGAGCTCGAGTTAAAATTTCACACGAAGCTGATGTGAAGAAGTAAATGGGTTCAGACTCATAAATAAAAGTCACTTGTTAGAAGTTTCTGAGTGCTTCGACTTATAACTTTATAAATATTACAACTGGGTCAGTCTTAAATCTCTAAATTAATCATAAACTTCTTATACATAGTAAGTAAAGAAGGCACATTTACCCTCATTGATGAAGCTTTTTCAACCGATGATGACATTTTGATGGATTATTTCGAGATCTTGATCAGTCCTAATTTAGAAGCACTCATGGAGATCATTCACGTTGGGAGATAGTGTCAGAATACTCAACCTAGTGCTGCAGAGTGAAATTAAGAAAGGTTATGTTCGACTAAATATAGATGATTATTATAATCAGAATGAATGAATAAACAGTGAAATAAAAATTTAAAAAGAAAATAAAATGAAATAAAACAAAACATCAAGAAAATGAGTGTTCACAAAAGTTCACAACAATGCACAGGCTGGAACTGAGAAAGAGAAGAACGTAGTTTCCTGTATAGATTATGTGGGGAAAGCTTTGAAAACAATGCTCACGATGGAATTGAGAATTGTGTGGATGAAAGTGACAAGAACATAATTTTTGCAATATCTTTGTGAGGAAAAAACCTTTACAACTATGCACACGATAAAAATGTGAAGTGTGGATAGAACTAAGAAAAACGAAGCTTCTTGAATAGTTTTTGAGAGTAAAAAAATTTACATCAATGCCAAGTATAGAAGTGAAAAGTGTGTTGTTGGAAGTGAGAAGAACCTAACTTGTGGAATAGCTTTTGTGAGAGAAAAAATTGAAAACGATGGAATTAAAAAATGTGCGGATAAAATTTATAAGGAAGTAGTTTCATAAATAGGTTATGGTGAAATTTTTTTTGACAACCATGCACAATATAGATTTCAGAAGTGTGTGAATGAAAGTGAGAAAGACGGAGCTTCTGGATTAGCTTCTAGGACATACATAAACAAGAAGCTACGTTCTTCTCACTTTCATCCACACATTTTTTTTTCCATTCTGTATATTGATGTCAAGTTTTTTCCTCACAGAATCTATTCCAGAAGCTAAGTTCTTCTTAGTTTCATCCAAACACTTCTCAGTTCCATCGTTATCAATTTTTTCCTCACCAAAGCTTTTATTCAAACTAGTTTTTTCTCACTTAGATCCACACACTTCTCAGTTCTATACTGTGTATTGTTTTCATTTTCATTTACAGAACCAGAACCTATGAAGTAATCTACATTGGGATTGTTCATACCTTGTATCTGTTGTAAATGGAAAGATATAGCTAGTTTATTGCGTCTAGCTCTACGTCGTCGTGATTTGTGGAGATATATGAAGTTATGTAAACATCAAACCTCCCATCAAATCACGACAACGTAGAGCTAGACGCAGTAAACTAGCTATATCATGATGTGGATGTGAAACTCTCAATCTGTTCTATACTCGCTGCACCAGCTGCGCAAACCTCATTCTCATCCGGTATACAAGGTGAGGTTAAGAGTCATTCTAAGAGTCATAGAAGATGTGAATCAGAATGCATACCTCTTTGTGTCTTCTCAAAATAACTTCCTCGTTCCCTTGAGTAACCAGTCAGTAGTAATTTGATACCGGAATTTCTCAAGGAGGTGAAAACTTTGGAAACCAGACCAGCAAGTATGTTTTTCGGTGAAGACAGCGAAGAAGACTCCGGTTGTGCTGAAACCGGGTCCAAAGGGACTAATCTTGTACATAACTTCACGCCAGAACATTTATCAAGCAACTCGGGAGAATTTATTCCTGCAGACGGGTTCAGAACATGCATTCAGAACCTGGTTCAAAACCTCAACGTTTTTGGACCTGAAGCTTGAAAATGTCGGTGGATTGCTCTGAGTATTCCAGATGTCTAGGACAATAAAAAGTCCTCTAATCAGTAAAAGAAAGTCCACCCTTTAGTTTGTTCTGGAGGAAAAACTAGAACCAGAATGACATTGAATGGAAGAAACGTAAATCCTACAGTGAAAAATCGAAACTTGTTGAAAACTCACATGGTTAACTCACATGATGCAAACCTTGGTAGACAGAATAGTTAGGGAAACATGTTTCTCTTATATATCTGATCTCGGATAGATACCTGAGAGTTGCCGATACGATATTTCTTTACAGAGTAAACTTTCTCAATGCTTACCGATGGTGAAAACTCTTGATGAGAATTCTTGATTCTTGATCAATACCAATGAAAACTTGCTCCAAGCATTTGTTAAAGCACTGAAGATGAATGTAAACCGTGAAAATACACCATGAGATTTTCATAACAGTTATATGCATAACTGTTATGAAAGTCTGGAGCAGGTTGGCTTCCGTTCCGTTGCCCAAGTTTGCTGACAAACGAACTAAACAACGAATATGAAATATGATTTCATGTTTGTTGAGGTGATGCACAAGAGACTCTTCGTTTCATCTTCCCTCATGGTCATGTGGCCGTTGATTATTTGCAGAGAACTCTATTCAATAGTGTAACGGGAGTGGAATATTCGCTTTGTTCATACAAGAAAGTTCATATCTTCCTAACGGAAAATCCAAAGTTCAATTTCATATCATCTCTCAAATTTGGGTCTTTGAATTCGAGTTTACAGTGGCCATCACGCTAGAGATGTTGTGTCAGTAAACTTAAAATTACATCCAGTTTGTTGCTCCTTCCCTAAACTAATACCGGCGAAGAAACCATTCGAGTTGCAGCTCGTGGTTTTCGGCTTGGACCTGACGTTGCACCAAATGAGAATTCGGACTTTTGTAATCACAATGCTGCTGGCTATTGGACTGATGCCATTTCCTCTATGTCCTTAACATGAGGAGTTTCCAAAGGTTAAACTACGCCGTCCAAGCTGCACTACGTAAACGAAGCAACTGTGGTTACCTGTGCTTCCGCATTCTTCATCCTGTAACTTCAACTACTACGTCAGACGAAGCAACTGTATCCCCGCAATTATATAGAATTAATATATGATAATGATTACATCAGGTTAATGCATGAAATAAGAATATAAATTTTAGAATGTTCTTGATAATATTTATTTTAAAAAAATAGACGATCTTTTGCAATAGAATAATTCTACATAATTTGATTAAAAATCATCATATTTATGTAAAAAATAAAATCATAAATTTTTTTCATCAGTGATATGAAATATATTGTTGAAAGTATACTTATTATACCCTCGGAGTACTTATGACTGATCTGTCACCCATTACATTTTTGGATATACCTCGGTCCCCCGGGGTTTGGCACCTAGGCACTAACCTTTTTGGGGTCCATTGGGGTGATCCCTCGTTTTATCCACACATGTTTATAAAAACCATCGGAATAAATTTAATTTTAATCGTACAAATATCTATAAAGAGTCATCATACCATCGATTTTTTTTTAAGAATAATTTTAAAAAATACATTATGATTGAAATAATATTTATATGAAAAAAATCAATTTTTGAAGTGAAACATAAATCTAATTAGGATATTAGTTCAAATTTCTTATAATATATATGATTATGGGCAAAAAGAAAATAAAAAAATTCATAAATATATGATTTTTTGATATATGATATGCAATTTTTTTTAGTAATCAATACATAGATAGAAAAAATTTTTCACTTACTTTTTGGTTATATAGGGTTAATTATCTAATTAACTATTACTCAAAACACAGAAAATAAAATGAAGTTTAATAGCAGAGGCCAACATTTACCTAAAATGTGCACCCAAACCATAACCATCCCTAAATCCCACCCATTGCATTACCTGTGCCACCCATGCTATTTAGACTGACCCAATTCTTGGTTAGTCTTGGATCTTGGCAAACACTACCATTTCTTGTGTCCACCCATGGAAAAATAATTTCACCCAATGTTAGGCTCGCGGAATAGTTAACTCTATTTAATTTTTTTATAATACAAGAATCGAACTCAAAGATTTAATTGACTTATGAATAGTTAAT